CCACAGTTGAGTTCAAGTCAGAGAGACTCTACACCCTCGACGGCAAGCCGACACCATCACCATGGGGTCCCATTGGCGGACTGCACAAGACCTCGGACGGCCATGTCCGGATCCATGATTCCTTTCCCAATCATGCCAATGGGATTCTCAAGATGGTAGGCCTGCCTGTTGGATCGAACAGACAACAACTTTCCGACAAGGTTGTCGATTGGGCCAGCATCGACCTTGAGACGGCCGCCACAGTGGAGGGAAAGATGGCGGCATATGCTCTGAGGTCCTATCGCCAGTGGGACGCCCTTCCACAGTCAAAAGCCATCAGTGACTTCCCCATCGAAATTGCTCAGCTCTCATCAGCCGGGTTTAAGGGTCTTCCCGAGAGAATGGCAGCAGGCAACTCAAAATGCCTCCAAGGTCTCCGCGTCGTCGAAATGAGCCGAGTGATCGCCGCGCCCTTGTGCGGAAAGACGCTCGCAGCTCATGGCGCGGACGTAATCTGGGTCACTTCACCGAACCTGCCCGACCTTCCGACCATGGATCGTGACTTTGGTAGAGGGAAGAGAACGGTCCAGCTGGATATTCACAACCATTCTGACAAGGCCCAGCTCATCGAGCTGATCCAGACGTGCGACGTATTTGTCCAGGGGTTCCGCCCCGGCAGCCTGGCCAGCTACGGTCTGTCGTCCGAGGAGCTGGTGAAGATCAACCCGTCCATCATCATCGCCAACATGTCTGCATTCGGGCCCCAAGGACCCTGGTCCAACCGTCGAGGCTACGATTCTTTGGTGCAGACTTGCTCGGGCATGAATGTCTCCGAGGCAGAGCACGCCGGGCAGGGAGAAGCTGCCCGTCCGACACCCTGTCAAGCTCTGGACCATGCTGGCGGATACCTGCTCGCAACAGGTGTCACTGCAGCTCTATACAAGAGGGCGAAGTCAGGCGGATCGTACAAGGTTGACGTTTCCCTCGCGGGCGTGATGAAATACCTGCGAAGTCTGGGACAGTATTCAGGGGCTAGCGGATTTGAAGGAGTTGGTGACTACGAGAAGCCTGAGGACGTCCCCAGCGAGTTTTTCGAGACTCGAAAGACGGGTTTCGGCCCCATGACTGCAATCAGACATAGTGCCCGGGTCGAAGGTTGCGAGGTTGGTTGGGATGTGATGCCGAAGCCGCTAGGTTCAGATGATACGCAATGGCTGTGATGAGTATGGGCACTGTGGTTTATGCGAATCGAGACTATTTCGTGTTTAATGAACAAATGCGGTAAACTTGCTGCCTCAATACAACATTCTGATCAATTTGGGGCAACGTAATAGTGTGCCCTTGATGTCCTGTCCTCATCGGGCTTTCCCAAACCCTATCCCAGTATCCGTAGGCAAACACAAACCATCCTGTTACCTGGTATTCCTGATCCAACGCCTTGCTAGTACCCATAAGATGCCTGACTCCTTGTCCTTCGAAGTCATACGTCACGCTTCTTGCGGACGAGACCGGCTCCTAACACGTTGACTTGCGGAGTTTCACCTCCGTTCGCCGCTGCGGCCGCGGATTCGTCTTTAGACTTCTTTCGGATGAGCCCCGTACTGAGGACGTTAACCTTGGTCGGCGGCTCATCTGAAGTAGGAGTCGCGGAGTCCTCCGGGCGCTTGCGCTTAATAAGGCCCGAGATGACATTCACGGCGTTCGCCGAAGAGCCATTTGACGCTAGCGTTGGAGTCTCCTTCCTGCCCACAACCTGCATGCCCCAATCGTCTCCCATGCCGACCTCGCTGATCCATCGCCGCGTGCCGCTAGCTGCGATCTCTGGTTTGGCAAAGTCTAGGCGTAGAAGAAGCTCATTGACTCTCTTGTAATCGTTCTCATCGACAATCTTGCGGCCCCTACCCTCAGCAGGCCAGAAGTAATAGGCAGTCGAGATTGGCTTGTCTAGCAGGTAGTTACGCTGTTGGGTTTTGATGCGTGGCTGTCTTGACTTAACGACTCCCGTCAAATTGGACTTGTTCTTCTTATGTTTGTTTTTGCTCTCAGGCTTCTCTGGCTTAGTCTTGGTCTTAGTCGGTGTGCCGGAAGGTGGCACGGGAAACAGCTTGCGAGGGGTGGACATGGGTGTGACGGGCCGTACTGCCTTCTGCTTGCTAGGCGTGACGGGCGGGTTAGACGCATCGAAAGAAGGGTTCGGCGTTGGGAGATTTGCAGAGGCACTGTCAGTATGCACTTGCTCGGCCTCCTCATCAAAGACAACCCAGATGAAGCCCGTGAGCCGACCGCTCGAACACTCTTGTCTGTATGCCATCATTTCCCAGAAGGTATCCAAGCTCTTCACGCTCTTCCACTGTCCAGTGGTCTTGATTTGCTTCGACTTGCCCGCTTCTTCATCCAGCTCGTCTCGGAATCGGGATTTCGGATCGTCTGGGAACCGGGGGATAAGGCATCGTGCGGGTACCCAATCGTACTCCTTAGTGTAATGCGAGATCTTCTCGAGAGCGTGACCCAGGACCCAATTTGACGCGCTCTTTGGGGTCTTGGGCAGGAAAGCCTTGGTTTCGTAATTGTCAAGTCCCGGGATGACGAGGTAGCCTTTGACAGTACCCCATGGAGCTCCCTTTCCCACGGGAGGGTTCTCCAAGAGAGAGTCTAGGACTTTGCACCACCACTTCACTAGTCCTCTGTCATCGAGCACATGCTTGCCACTGTACTCGACAGAGCCAGGGAAGAGGTATTGATCTTGAGCCCGGGCGAAGAGACTAACGATGGATTGAATGCCCTTGCGCCTGCGCTGCTCGACCAGGTACGAAACAAAGGCACTGCTAATCTCCTTGATTGGCGATAAGGTGCCTTTGGGAAGGTTGAGAAGCTTCAAGTAGCCAGTTGAATCGGCTTTGGCAACGAAGAAAGTGCTGGAGTATGCAGTCGTGTAGATGTAGACCTCTAGCGCGAGGACAAGAACTTGCTTCGAGGTAGTCTCCTTTGCTTCAAGGGCAGCGTCGGTAGTGATTGAGGGAATATCGATGGATATTGCAAGAAAATGCTTTTCGCAAAAGGTCTTGTCTTCTCGTTCTTCGGGAGGAGCTGAGTACAGGGCGTCCGTCTTGGTCGGAGGAGTTGAGAGGTGGTAGATGCCAAAGCGGTAGCCCTTGGGCAGAACAGCGGACAGTTTCTCAAGGAGAAGAGCACTGCTCTGGGCGGTGGCCTTGGTTCGGCTTGGAGTCGCCATGATGCTTGAGAAAGGGAAGCTATTCAGTTGGAATTGATTCTCCCGAAAAGATTGTCATGCCATAGTTGTCAATTGAGGAGAGGACTGAAAGGAATTGAACTTGAGGGGTTGGTCAAGCAGGCTGAGCAAGCTGCAGGACCGTCCCTTCCCTACCTTTGAGGGACGCGTCGCAGCTCTTCACATGCGTGTCAGAAATAAGTGGAGAAACGCGTTGGGTTTAATTGAAAGGAAGCTACGAGCATTACCTAAGCCACGGAGTAAGGGACGTACTCACTGTGTCACTAGGGACCGTGCTCAGCTCGGAAAGGTATTAGGCCATATGACGACTAGTGCCGGTCGCTGCATGATCCGCCTTCCGCGCGATGCCACGTGACGTCGAGAAATTGTTCCGAGCGCCCATCGCGAAAAAGTTCCCAGCATCAGGAGCTCTAGCTATACGACGGTACGCCCACACCGAAATCCGCACCACACCGTCGTCTCTCCCTCGCCGACCGCCCCCAATGGCTCCCAACGGCTCCCGGTCAGCATATAGCCTCACGAGGCAAGCCGCGAGGCATTGCCAATCAGCGGCAAACTCACGAGTCGTCTCTCCTATCCAATGCCTCTCCCGATCCTTTGCGACGACCAGCTCCCGAAAGGAGGCAGAGGCGGAGAGCAAATTCGATCAACTGTCACGGAAAACCGAAGAGGCTGAGCGGCCCGATGAGATCAGACAGCGCCCGAGATGGTCATACACTCCCGAGGGAATGAAGGCACCCTTCTCGCCTCATATCACCAAGAACCCGGCGCGCAGTGTTTGGAAGGTCAACGAGGATCCCAAGAAGCTGGATCAGATGTACGTGAAGCTTTTGGGCAGAGATGGAGACAAGATGTTGCCGGATGAGACCAAGTGGCTGGCGGTCACGCACAAAAGTTTCGACCAGGGTCGCCGGGGATTCAACGACAAGCTGGCATACTTGGGTAAGGACACACGACTTTGCTCCCAACCAAGCTTCAGTTGCGACAATTAAGTGCGGAGGGAAAAGAAAAAAAGGCACACGAAGCTGACTCGAGCCGTTGGGCAACGCATTACAGGTAGACAGGCGGTTATTCTCGAGACCACGAACCGCATAGTGACGGGGACCGATTCCTCGAAGAAGGCAATCGTTCCGGAAAAATCGTATCAGCGAACACCCTTTGAGCACCCTGCTCTCACGAGAGTCGACAACCTCAACGCCGAGCAGCCCCAGAAGGTCGTTACGAAAGAAAAGGTCGAGGCGCTGGCGCTCGCTGCCGGTCTTGACAAAGTTTTGCGATGGAAGCCGGCAAAGGTAAGCCCAAAACTCACAGCTCCCTTCCTCCGCCTCATCGGGCTCCCCTCAGGAGGCGACGACACCCTCTCCTGGCTCTGTTTTCTAACAATTGTCGTCTCCAGCCCGAAAACCTTTCTGGCTCTGGCCAGCAAATTGTTCTCAACTCGGCAGTCTTTGCTATCGTCGGAGCCATCACCCTCCAGCACGGCGCCGAAGTGGCAGGTAGAGTTATCAGGGACAGAATATTGAGGCCGCTCTCGGCGAACCGGTAAAGCCGCTAGAAGAGAGACGTCTGTTGTATCATAGGTGTAAAACATTTGACAAAAAGGACATCAATCCCAGCTGCGGCGCAAGAGAGGCAGCGGAAGCAATATTTTCCTCGTTTTCCCGCAGTCATGACGCTGTGCTGTCGCCGGACCGCGCATAACAAATGTAACAAAAGGATCAGAGATGAACGAATATAGAAGTATATCCCAACGTGGAAGACGCTTTGCCACTCAACTTACTCTGGGTTCCTTGATAGGACCCGTGGTCAGGTGCATGACGTGGGAGATGGTGCAGTCCGGGGGCTGCCAGGCGAGCCTAATGACCCATCCGTCGGTTGTCGAGTGGAGGGCCCAGGCGAGGTCTCCATCGCGGATACGGGTAGTCATTTCCATCGTGACGAGGTTATTCACAACCGATTGGTCGACGCCTTTGCCAAAGACCAGCGCCTTTCGAACCATACTGTTGTTCGGGGTCTTTGCGGCCATGCCGGATGAGGCACGGTGCCAGTCAAATATGTGAGACCCAGAGCCAGAGTCACGTAAACTAGCGAGACCAACATCGCCGGCCACAGCGTGTACATAGCCTTCGCCGAGTGGACGGGTTATCTCAGACGTGGATCTCGTGCAGAGGACAAAGGTTTCGAGGCAGGCAAAGGATTCATTCAGGGTAGCCATGCCAAACCCTGGATCTGGATCAACCTGCCAGATGCTCCGGGGCCAGTCATTCGATCCGTAATGCGCGACCCCTCTACCCAATGGATCGTGGGCGAGCAGGTCGCTGGCAAGGATGGGCATAGTGAGAGACCTGGTAGCGCCCTGGTAGAGCACGAGGTCCCAGTCAGGATTGATGTAGATCCGGTCCCACGCCGGGTTTCTATGCTTCAGATCCGGGAACCCGTGGCTGTCGGGCGCCAATGACCTCATCGGCAACCGAATCCTGAAGAAGGACACGGCTTCGCGGCGTGACTCGTCGCACACGCGAAAGAGCGCCGGGCTCCTGTTCTCGCAGTACCAGTGTGCGTTGCATGCCATGTTGCCCAGGTTGTTACCGGAGGCCTGGACGCCCGAGCCGTCTGGTACGCCTCTGATCACGACGATGCGTGGCCGTTCCAGGTGCATGCGCCAGATCTTGCGTCGTAGCTCATAAGCCAGGTCTGGAAAGCGATGAAAGACTGAATCTTGGTCGTACCCGTAGCTGCTGCGGCTACTGTTGGGGATTAGCGATGCTGCGTCTGTAGCTGTGGTCATAGTAGTCGTCCTCGGCTCGCTTCCCGAAGCGGCTACCCAGGTCCGCAGGTCGAAACCTTCACACGCCTCTAAATTCTTCCAGGGTGTCGATGGCGTTTTCCGGACGGCGGGCGGAGCATGGATGTTCGTGGTTCGGAGGCCCCCATCTTGGTGCTCGGCATAAAACACCTCGGCGTCATGCTCGTCTTCAGCCTGGGGAGGCGGAAGCTGGCGTGATGTTGACCGAACTGGTAGATCCATCGCCTGACGTGACGGGGCAGACGCCGTTGAGTTTGATAGACTGCCAGCGTCAACGGCGTTGAGAGTCGGCCTTATTGCGTCCGCGGGATCAAAGTGTCAGACAAACGCTAAGTTTCTGAAAAGATCGGGGGACGACGCTAGCGGTAGCTCAGACGACCTCTGAGCTAAGGTAAAGTGCTTCACTGCGCAATGGAAGATGCCGATTGGCGATTGGATCAACTGTATCAAGTTGAATATGAGTGTATCCGTACAGCCTCAGTCTCCAGTCTGTATCGTGGTGTAGCCTCAAGTGTGGGGTGGGGGGCAAAGGCACTGGAAGTGGAAATAAGGGACGACGTGTGTCTGACAGTTGGAGAAGGTTCCACGACAGTGAAGTGCGTGATGCGTTTGGGCTTCACAATACGAACGCGGACACGATGAGGTGGTTCCCCTTTTGAGTTGAAGAGACGGGGATGGTGGGAGTTGTCGATGAGTTAATAATCAGCGCCACCTCGTTCTAGAAGGGAACCTCTGCGGTCAACCGGCTGACTAAACTTCCTCTAGAGGCACCGTACTCGGCTCCGTCTTTTGTAGCAAAAGACCCCTTTGCAGGGAGTTACCGCTTTTGGAAATGGTTTGCGGGCAGTTTGCGAGAACTGATGGGAGAGATTCTACCGCAAGCCGGGGGCAACCAGGAAGAGGCCCGGCTGACATGTCTGGCAGTTGCATCTTAGCGCCTGAATGACGCTGTGACCCGCCAATGCCCAAGTCATTCCTTGTTGTTCGTGAGTTGTGTCTGCTGGTTTCCCCTGTCAGATTGTGTCAGATCCCACCACGCACTCACAGACAGACTCGACACACAAGCATGTGTCTGCCCGACACCATCCTCATCGCCACGGCGGGAACCGTTATGATGTGCTACATGGGTCCCTTGTCCAGGCTTTAACCTCCTCTTTGGTCGTCTTGGAATGATTGCAAACAGCCTTAATCGCCATTAGGTACTCTCAGCCGGGCTACAGCTACAGTCTACGGATGATGGGCATGGCCATGAGCCAATCACCGCAGAGTCTTTGCAACTTCACACAACCGTCTGAAACTTGCAAACACCAGCATCTTCAACTGACAACCTGCTTCTCCATCGTCTGTGGCTCCCATCTCAAACTCTGCTCATCCCCCTTTTGCCCTTCCTGGCGCCACGCTCTTAACTACAACGTTCACTTACTAGTACCAAGTATCCTAATGAACGACTTGCCTTATTGGGCCCGTATCTCGTATACGCATTCCCTCTCTAGTTCGCATCGCTCCAAACTACTCTGTTCAAGCTTCAATGTCTTCCACGCGGCCCTTGTCGGTACTCGGACGCATCGACATCATGCTACAACAACATAGCCGTCGAGGTCGATCCAATTGAACACGACTTTCTTTTGACTTCGTTTGACACAAGCCTATGGCTTACTGTAACTTTGCAGAAACGCTCTTGGCTTCGACCTGTGCGCTCTTAAGCCTGAAAATGACAGAACTCTCGCGGCTGTAGGCTATACCCCAGCTTCTCCCCGATAATGACTGCAAGTTCCAAAGATGACTCTGCCACTTGGACGATTAACGTCGTGAGACCTGGGGTCGTGGCTGCAACTCTGCCATTCCCTTCAATGATTCGGCCCCGGCTAGACATGTCTGGGATTCTCGCAAGGAGCTTCCCACCTTTCCGTGTTCCACTCCAGTCCACCCCGGTGCGGACCATGTCAGGGTCTGAGTGGAGCGGAATCCCGCCGCATATGGCAAGTGGCATCTCGACTTACCCTGAAGAGAGATCGACGCTCCATGTTTTAGGCTCGAGGGGACCATGACCATCAGAGCTTCTTGTATAGATACGTTCCTATCCGTCTCTAGATGTTTCTTCTAGATGTCGTTGGCCCTTTCACCCATCTAGTCATCATCCCCATAGGTGTTGGTTCAAGAAACACATCTTCGTTTCGTTCGTACACGACTGCTGGCAGCCCTTTTTCTTTCTAGTTGACTGCCTTTGATACCCCACTCTGTTTCTATTAATGCCACGGGAAATTTCTTTTCACGCCTATCAAGCAAAGTCCATTACTTCATACTTCACATCACCATGAACATGTACGACAAAATATCATCACCTGAGGATGCTACGGAGAGAGCCCAGGCTTCTCCACCTCCACCAGCCCCAAGGCGCCAGAGACTAACAACCTTTTGTATCGGTTTCTTGATGATATTCTCCATCTTCAGCGTCGGCAGGGATATCAAAGACTACTTTTATCAAGACCACAGCCTCAGCAGCCGATCAATGGCAAGACGAGACCTGGGTTCCTGGGGCCAAGCCATCGACGCAATTGTAACGCCAGACACTGTCGAAGCCATCGGCAACGACCTAAGGCTACGAAGGACATTAATGTCCATGGTCGATTACACCTTTGACCTCACAGATCAACTAGCCGCCCGCTATGAATCTCCTCAGCTCCAGGAGACAAGAGAAGCATTGCAAGAATACAAGGAGGAGATCAGGAGGAGCCTCGAAGGTCTGAGAGACGACGAACAAAGCTCGCCTCAACTACACAAACGACAGCTTCCAAGTCTTGGAGAACTCTTTGGAGCTGCCGTCTCTGGAGGTAGCGCCGATGGTGGTGGTGGAGGAGGAGGCGGTGGACTTCCCAACCCATTCAACCTTCCGCTCCCTGGGGCACCGGGTGGTTCTCCAGGCGGCGCTCCCGGAGGCGGTACCGGCCCCCTAGGCCTCCCTGGCCTCCCAACTCCAGGCGGCGGCGGTGCCGATGGAGGGGGAATGTCAGCCGGTATACTCAGTGGCCTCCTCCAACCCCTGAAAGACGGGCTGAGCAACGTCGGAAACCAACTTGTCGCCAACCTCAACGGTCCAGGCATGTTCCTCGGTATTGGTATCGGAGCCGGAGCGGCTCAGGGGCTCAACCTGTCCACACAAGCAAAGACGATGGAAGTGGCAGCGAAGGTTGCCGCAGACAACAAGATGGAAGCCACCGGTCTCAACCCAGCCATCCAGAACCTGGGCGTCGGGCTAACTTCCACCCTCATCGGCGCCATCGACTTCAATAGCCTAGGCGGCAATCTCACTAACCAGCTGCAACCTATCGCTCTGTCCCTCGCAACAGGTCTCGGAAACGGCACAGTCGCAGGCCTGAAGCTAAACGCAAACGCCGCGAACCTCGAACCCGTAAACGATTCGTCCATCCCCAACGTAATCGGTACATTTGGATTCGGTCTCACAAAGACCGTGACAGCCAACCTCGATATCAACCAGCTCTTCAACTCGGCCAACAACCCCAACACTACCAAACAAATCATGCGTATCCTCCCGGCCGCGGCTTCGGGCTTCGGCAAGGGTCTTGGCCAAGGAGCGACGGTAGGATTGGGCCTACAGCCCGACACCGCGGTACCGATGCAGCAGATGCCCGACGACCAGATCGACTTTGGCGGTATCTCGCAGACCTTCGCCAAGGGTCTGACGAGCAGCTTCCTCCAGAACGGTACCGCAACCGAGTTGCTCAACAAGGTGGGTGGGTCGATGAACATGAACCAGAACGGTGGAGGAATTCCGGCGACCATCAAGTTCAACGGCATGGACATACAAGTCAGCAAAGTTGCGCAGGGCTTCGCTCGCGGGTTCCTCCAGGGCGCGGGCGATGCGATCCAGGGCATGGGCGGGGTGCAGTCTCTCTTCGAGGGTAACGCCACCATGCCCACCGGCGCGATGCCCGATGCTAAGCTCCAGTTCGACGACTCGCTCGGCGGAGCTGCCAGTGGTTTTGGAGTTGGGATCGGTGGGCAGGGCGTCCTCGTCGCGTATGGACTGGCTAGCAAGCCGCGGGGGAACACTCAGTCTGCTGCGAATGCGCCGGCGGCACCGGTTGCTAGCACGCCCGCCCAACGCCGAGACGTCGAACTGGTCTCGAGACAGGATCCCCCGCCGGTCGTCTCCGTCAACACCACCGAGGGATTCAACCTATCCGTCGTGATCAACGCGCAGACCATCTCGATGGCTGCTCAAGCCGGTGTCAACGCCCTTACCTGTCAAGGTGTGGGTGGTTTGGGCCTCATTGGCTTTGGATTGATCCGCAGCAAGACTATCGCATTGGATTCCTTCAACAATGGTAACGTCACGAAGACTGCGAAGCAAGTGATTCCGACTGGGATCATCAAGATTTCCAACGAGGGGCATTCGTACGCCATTGACGGACAGGTGATCCGGGACTCTCTTGGAAACTCGATCATCAACGCTGCGAATGGCATCGAAGTCAACGGATTCAAGCTACCAGGCTGGATCGCCTTCTTGGTCCTTCATAGTAAGTCTGAATATACCCCTGAACTCTTTTTACTTAATTAACATTCGCACCTCACTAGTCCTCTTCGCCATCATCGCCTACATCAACGTCCTGCCCTTGGCCATCGGGCTGGAGCACATGCGCAACCTCCTTCTGCGCATCGACGCCCCTCCAATTCTGCCAAAGATCGAAAAATGGAATAACATCATGTGGCTCTTCATCATGGGGCCTTCGGTGGTTGTCGTTCTCATATTTGGCATACTCGTGACTGCGAAGTCATCTCACTTTCGCACTGCCCACGGTGTAAGTCTTCCCCTCCAACAATCTTGGTGCGGTAAGCATCGTTTCCTAACCCGCATCTCAACAGATCATAAGCCTCTTTACGACCATGGTCGGTTTGGCAGCCTTCTTGATGCACCTCGCTATCAAGGCCCGCGCACCTCCGGGACTTCCACACACCTCCCGCTCCGGCCCCACGCCACCGGCGCCCCTCCTCAGTCTCCCCAATATCCGCGTCATGGTCAATCAGCTCTTCTTGATTCTCTCATTTGCCTCTATCATCACTGGATTTGCCGATCTCAGCTCAGTGGCTCTATGCTTTACGCAAGTTGTTCCTTTCGATCTGGCGCTGGTCATTGGGTTTAGTCTCTCAACAGTCTTCGTCCTAGGGTCCACCGTCTCCGGACTCGATATTGCGCTTACTGTTCGGGACTTTTTGAGATACAAGAAGACCCTGAAAGGTGGCGATAAGACGAACGCCGCCGAAAGAGGCGTGGAGAGAGGTGGTGTCATGCAGAGCAAGATTCTGCAGCCAACGATGGTGGACGAGAAAGGCGCATTTGCATAGCTGCCCGGGCTTTCGTTCGTTCGAGCTTGAGAGACTCTGAGCTGCGCTCAGTCTCCCTTATTTTGTTTTTTATCTCATTGGTAATTTACATAACCCACCGGCGCATGGTCTTACGGATGGGCAAAGTCATGTAACATGGGACGGGATCACGGGTAGGAGTATAAATTTGGATGCGCTGAGACTGCATGCAGGGCACATGTATTCTGACATAACGGATATGACTACGGCGGAGTTACTCCTGACGACTCTAGTGCTGCGGAAAACGGGGCGGCCTTGACTCTCATTATACCCAAGCTTGCTTCAGGAGGCAGGCTTTGAATTTCATACCCAATTGGCCGATTCAGAACGTCTTGCTTCTTTCGCTTGGTGAAGGGACAAAGGCATATGTATCGCAGAATATGTTTTTCAAAACTCTAAACTCATCTCTTCTGGTATTTTGGTAAATCTCCCTTTGCCCGAACCTTGCTGTTTTTGGGTACTTTGAACACAGCTCTTGTTCTACTCGAATACTCTGTCAAGAGTCAACTCATACTCTCTCGCTCACCACTCGTCAACTCAGTCGTCATCCCATAAATGCCAGCTGCTACTAGGTCTCACATCCAGTACCGATCTCCTCTTCTTCCGCGGTCCCGCAACCTCACGGCCATTACTCAAAAAGAACTCCTCCGTCTCGCAATCGGGTATTTGCCTCACCATCCCCAGCCCAGCAAGATCCGTCTTTGTGCACTTCATCCTCAAATGGCGGAAATACTTGCGGTAAAACATCCTCTGCATGACCAGGTTCTCAGCCACGTTCTTGGGCAGATAGTCCCCAAGCTGCGTCCGCAACGCCTCTAGTGCCGTGCGCTGATTCATCGCATCGGGGGGCTCGTAGTCGTTGCTCAAGAGCAGCCGCGGCACATCGCGGTAGAATGCGTTCTTGGCCGGGATGCCGCTGGTGAGGTAGCCCTCGTGAATCATCCACACCGGGAACCGGGCCGCCGCACGATCGTCCATTAGCTGGATTGCTTCCGTATAAGATTCCAGGTTCGCCAAGCTCTCTGCAAGCGGCGCACACCCCGGAACAGGCGTCAGGTCCCACGTCTCCGGCCCGCCCCTGTCGCGGGTGCCGAAATGTCGGATCCCTACGCCGAGCGGGTCGAACGCGAGGCAGTCGCTCAGGAAGATGTCGAGGGGTATCTCGCTGCTCCAGGGGAACGTAAAAATGACAGTGTCAAAGTCCGGATTGATGATGACGGGCCAGGCGATCTTGTTGGTTGGGTGCATCGGTAGCTGAACGCGGTAGAATGCGCGTGTCTCGGCGCGGCATTCCCTGTTTACCCACATCAGGGCCGGGAGCGTGTTGTCTGCGCTCCATGCAATGTTGGAGGCGAGATTCCCGAGCGCGTTTGGCGCGAAATGAATCTTTTTCAAATCGTTCATGCATCGAATCTCAACGATACGCGGCCGTTCGAGATAGAAGCGCAGGATCTTGGACCGAAGCTCCGGTGGTAGGCGGGCGAAGGGACGGAATGCAGTGAGGGGTCCAGGGGTCTCGGCAGAGCAGCAGGAGGCCACTTGCTGGACAACGGGGAGCTCAAAGGAAATTTGCGATGGCACAGCTGTTGGCGGCGGACCAGGAGGAGGGTGTGTGATTGTCCAAGGCCCATACGGGACCCCGGACCGGAACTGGAACCGGTCCTCGGGTTTGACCGGCGTCGGGGGCCGATGGAGGTCAACATGGCGGCGCTGTCCGCACGTGGGACACGGCGCGGAGGACGATGGGAAGTTTCCGATGGAAGCACCGACACTCACACTGAGTGAAGTGGACGAGGATGACGACGAACTCGAGGGTACGGCGGTGGTCTGAGCGGTGGTTGATGTAGCGGGCGAGTGCGAGGCGGAGGTGGCAGCGGTTGAGGAGGAGAGGCCGGAGTCCGTCACGGCGTCTGACTCGCTCGGGTGCGCAAGCGTTCCTGAATGCCGTAGCGTGCGACTCTGGCTGCTGCGAACATTGTGTTGGTTGTGATTGCGTGTTGCGGTTTGGGTGCCTCTCTCAACGCTTTGGTCCGTCTCCCCTCCTACATTTACAGGTGGTGGTGGTACTGCTGATGATGTTGCTGTTGCTCCTGCTGCTCGCGGCGAATCCTTGCGTGACCGGATACGAACAGAAAGACCCTTCAGCCAAATCTTCTTCCATTTCTTCTTCAGTTGCTGCTGCTGGTCGCCATCCTGGTTCTGGTCTTTGGTCCGAAGCTGGGATGTGACTCTGTTCAAGTTGCTGTTTGCGTCGGGCGCCATGGCGGTGTGAGTCGGGCGAGGAGCCCTCGTCCCGGTTGAAGCGTCCTCCCGTCGGTGTTCCCTCGTATTCCCGAACCGCCAATGATGGCCCTCTTTTGGTGCTGTGAGAACAGCGATAAAGCGCAACAGCTTCGCCGGTGGTGAAGTTAGATTCTGCTTTTCAGTGACTTGTTGAGAACCCAGATGGCGAATGCCGTAGTCGCTGCTTATGCGCTGTGCTGACGCTGCCGCCGATGGCTGTTGTGAGGCTGGATGAGAGAAGTGGGGTTCCTCTGGGTAATTCGAGGGGGAAGAAGAGCTAGAAAGCGAGAATCGGGTGGTAAAAGGATGATGGGGAGGAGACGCGGTAGTAGTGCGGGTGGGAGACGCGGGGGAGGAGGAGGACATGTTGGTCAAGTTAAAGTTCATCCATGAGCCACGGCCGCGTCTGGAAAGGTCAATGTTCAGTCACGTCGTAAGGTGGTGTCGGTGTGTAGCCGATGTGATGTGGTGGTCAATGGTCGTCTTCGGAACAGCTTGCTCGCACGCTCTCAGGCACAGAACATGTTCATCGGTTACGGAGCTCAACAGCTGCAGTGCTCACGGCTCGGCTCAGCTCACAGGAATGCGCTGGGCGGTTATGAAGAGTCGGACTGACGGATATGTGACAGAAGAACTGGGCAGGATTCGAAGAAGGAAGACAGGCACAGGCACAGGCACAGGCACAGCAAGGCATTGGCTTTGCGACATGCAGGCATGACCGTCCGAGATGCGGTGCGATCACTGCAGTACCGGTTCGTTCTGTGGCCTCCTCCCACATTGTGGTTCCTTGGCCTGACAGTCGTTTGGTCGCAGGCCGTGGCCAGCTGAGGGGGAACGCGCACTGAGACAAGCTTTTGTTGGAAACGGAGAAGGGGAATGTTTGGGACTGCAACCAACCAGAGACGCAGTCAGCTCTTCGCAGTCAGCTCTTCCAATTGCCCAGCCTCCCTCAGCTTGAACTATGATGACAACTCAAGGCTTAAGTTAATCCATCAACTAAGTAGCTAACAGTTCACCTGTCAGCCTGCCAAGTCTTGCTAGTACACTTTAGTCAAACGAAGCCCCTTCCAATAGCGTCCGGCATCTGCTGCAAGCTGCTTCTTCCATTCGATTTACCCATCTATTCTCACATGAGCGTCTCCAAGGGAATCGAGAGAGTACGGACCATCTGTGCCTGATCTCAACCTTGGAACGCCGTTACAGCGCCCGCCTGGACCTCCCACGTGCTGAAACGTGCAAAGGGGGCGGATGCGACGTTTGGCCGGAAGAATGACGCCGATGCCTACATCTTCTTGCCTTGAGACTTTTTGCGGTGGTGAGAAGAATATATATCCTGCTGCTGTCTGTACATAAAATGTATAAATGGCCGTGTGCACGCTTGGAGCGCCGACCGCTGCAGACACAAATGCTAAGAGCAGCATCTCACCTACATGAGCACGATCGAACATGCAGATACCAGAATACGTACGTGGCAGCAGCCGGATGTTTGCCGTCGAAGAACTTGAAGTCTTGGTCTTCTTGCCATCATATTGCCGAACCAAGCCTCGATCGGCCGAGTACCCGGACCCGTGTGGATCCCGGATGTTGCACATGGAAGTGGGCCCGGAATCGGGGCCGACCGCCGAATGAAAAGACGGGCGACTTACATACTGACTAATTCGGTACGCAACCAGGATGTGCTTTGATTCCACAAACCAGTAACTGCAAACAAAGATAGACTTCTCAGTGTTGAAGTATACCATGTTGCCTGTAAACACTCCGGTCTAGGATGAGGCGTTGTTAGCTTCGTAACTGCCTTCCATAGAGTCACAGGCGAGGCCGATTTCACAGAACAAGCAAAGTATTTTATGTGGCGAAACACACGCTTTATTATCTATATCGTCAAATCGTTTGTCAAAGGTCCATCCATAGCCGAGCAGAGAGATCCGAAGATGCTCCCAAAAACCGCTAGGCCACTATCGAAGAAAACCACTACTCCTACCACAAACCACCACTGATAACCATTAACAGACCCATAGTAGAGTCAAGAGAAGAGAACATCCATCCATGCTCAGACGAGTCCCTTACAGAAGGACAGCGGCAGCAAGAACGCTGAAGGCAAGAGCGCCGAAGCTGGCAGCGAACTTGCTGGTGCCGGCCGTGACGACAGGGGGCTTGGCAGTGGCAGTGCCGGTGGGGTTGCCGCCCGCGGGGGGAGCAGCAGAGTTGGCCGGGGGAGCTCCAGCAGGAGGAGCACCGGCGGGAGGGGCACCGGCAGGGGGAGCTCCAGCAGGGGGAGCACCGGCAGGAGGAGTGCCAGCAGGAGGAGCACCGGCAGGAGGGGTACCAGCGGGAGGAGCACCAGCGGGAGGAGTGCCGGCCGGGGGAGCACCAGCGGGGGGAGCGCCAGTGGCAGGGGGGTTGGCGGCGGGCTTGGTCTCGGTAGCCGGGACGTAGGGAGTCTTGGTGACGGGAGGCTGGGGGATGACAATGGTGCTGCAGGTAGTGCCGTCGCAGCCAACAGTGGTGACGGGAGGAACGGGGATGACAATCTTGCAGGAGTCGCCGGAGCAAGGAGGCTGGGGAACAGGGCAGGAGCCGTTGCAGCCCTTGACCTCGATGTACTTGTCGTTCTTGTACTCGTACTTCTTGTTGGCATCGGCGTACGGGCAGGACTCGAAGATGCAGGAGTTGTCCTTGCAGACGTACTTCTTGTTGCACTCATCACCGGAGCAGGACTCGACCTTGCAGACGTTGCCGTAGCAGACAATCTTCTCGGAATCGAAGTCGGATCCCTTGATGACATAGTCGCACTTGCCGGAGACACACTTGATCTTGCGGCCGCAGTCGTATCCGGAGCAGACCTCAGGGTGCCAGGTGCCATCAACCCAGACGAGACGGCGCTGGCAGTCGGCACCGTAGCAGGGGTAGTCGAAACCGCAGTAGTCACCGTAGGCAACGATCTTCTTGTAGCAGTCATCACCGTAGCAGGGAACGCCGAAGCACTTGCCGTTGGAGCACGGGTTGGGAGTGGGCTTGTAGCAGAAGGGACCCTGGCAGTCCTGGCACAGAGGGCAGTAGGTGGTGGTGACAGTGGTGACGCCGGTGGTAGCGGTACCGTCAATGGTGGCAGTGGTGGTGGCAGTGAAGGTGGTGGTGACGGTGGCAGTGGTGGTGACATCGATACCGCCATCAACACGGATGTAGATGGTCAACAGGATCTCGGCAGAGATGAGCTGGCGCTTCAGGGATCCGCTGGTGTTGCGGCCACCACAGCGCTCGGCAGAGTTGCCAGGGCAAGTGATGTCGCATCTATCCTCAGAGACACGGGTGGCAGTGGCATCGCTGACGATATCACCGCAGAAGCAGTCGGAGCCGAACAGACCGGCGTAGCGCTTTCCAGCGGGGCAAGAAGCGACGCAAAGCTCAAGGGTCATGGAAGAGGCAGACAGGACCAGGTCGAAGGTAGGGAAACCAGTGGTGGAGCCGAAGCAGCCAAGAAGAGAGAAGTTGCCAACGTTGCTGGGGTTGGGAATGACCGTGGCGGACGGGGTGGCAGACGACGAAGTCGAGCTGGTCTCCGTGCCAGTGGTGGTGGCGGAGGTGGTGTCAACCGTGGAGGTCTCGGTGCCATCGGTGGTGATGGGAGGCACCTCGGAGCTGCTGGTGGTGTCAATGGTCGTGACGATGTCGGAAGTCGTGATGGGGACCTCGGTCGTCGCAGTGGTGTCCGAGCCAGTGGAGGTGGTCAGACTGCTGATTGTAGTCTGGCCGGTTGAGGTGGTCTGGATGGTGGTCACCGACGTGGAACCCGAGAGGGTTGTGGAGAAGGACGAGGTGGTGACCGACGAGCTGCGAGTGGTGGAGGTCGTGGTGGTGTTGGGGAACAAGGGAGAAGAACTCTGTCCCATAACCAACTGGCCCATGAGGGCGACGAGAGCCGTGCGACGCATGACTAAGCGAGTGACGAAAGCAAGTAAAAGAATGACTAGACCTCGGGTCGTAAACGAGTGAAACGAGGTAAAGAGAGAGGAAGAGAGGAGCTAAGGATGCGGAGTGTAATGATGATGAGGGTGAGGAGGGAAAGGAAAGTTGGATAGAAGCTGGAGAATCTTGTCTTTCTTATACCTTCTGGAAACTCCCTTTGCGTCCCTCATGTCAGGCAAATATTCATCTCATCGTAAACGATGTCTCTGGCGTCTCTGGCAACTCCAGTCTGCCCATGGGCCATGCCTCTCTCCCTTGCCATGGGGCATTGTCTCCTGAGTGACAAGATGAGTTTGCATGCCTTGGACGAACACAGAGTTTCCTACAGCAAGCGCCACCAAACTCAGTCTCCGTGTCTCGTTTCTCCCATTCTTCCGCTCTCGTGTCTCGTTCCTCGTCGTTCGTGTTGAGTTTAGTCAGGAGGTTAGGAATGGATCACCTCGGTCAGGAACTCATCAGTTGGCAATGTCTCACCTTCTCCGCAATCCAACGAGGGAGACCGCCTCAACAAGGGACCAATCAATAGGTCCGACGAAGGAAAGGAAAAAAAACAAAACCCAACATCGCTAAATTTCAATAAGCGTGCATTCCCGTCCGCTAAGCTTGGAAATTGGGTCTTGTCTGTGGCGTTCCGCCCGGCGCCCTCCCGAGCTTTCTCGTTGACGACAATGAACATTTTCGGAATCCCTGGGCCAGATCTTACCACCTGGAATCTGCCAAATTGCCTGTATCCATTCTCAGTCTCGGGCACCCGACCTCCTTTCGTCGCACCGGCCCCGCCCCGGCGACTCCAGTCATGTCCCCAAAACCGATATGGCCCTGTCTATCACCATGCGGCTCTCGATCTTCCGATCCATTGGAACCAACCGCCGGTCAGCGAGTCATACATTGGTTTTGATGGTCTCGGCCCGTTGAGTGTATCAAGTGGAGACGGAGCCCGCAGCGGCAAAATGCACGATATCATCCCTCGCTGGTGCATTCTTTCTTATTCTCGGCACTAAATGGGGCAGAGAGGGAACATGACGGCATTAGTTCTCCCCAAACAGACTTAAACTTACGAGACGAGAGAATTCTGTTATTGTCCTTGCATAAGCGAGCCATTACAAAGGCTGGTTGCCCTCGTGACTACCCCACACTCTGTCCCTCGTTGAGCCAACCTTGGATTCCGGATGCAGGCCATTGAATGTTTGGATAATCTTGAAAAGCGGAAGTGACATATTTGAGATTCCAGGAAAGCCTATTTCGCTCGTATCCATTGTTAGTCTCCAGTGTTTGCAATGGATTGTGGATGCCTCGACATCCACATTGTCAGCATTGCAGGGCATAGGACAAGAATAGCTTCAGGTCGTGGACAAATGGAGTATGCTCGAGTTAACTCCTCTTACACAAGAGGGAGGGAGTTTCTTTGCATCATGATTGATCGGCTCGAAATACCGGTGAGGAGTGAGAACTTGACGGTCCACATCTAGACATGGACCTTTTGGTGCATGCACTTGACGCTTGGCACCTGAAAACCGGAGGCCGGTCTGGAAGACAACGATATCAACTCAGTTACATGAATCCAATCAGAGGTGCAAGTCCAAGAATTCTCTCCAAATGACTGGAAGGTCGGTAGGATGAATATGAAAGGTATACGTAGTGATCATGGTGTTTCTATTGCTCCCTGGTTTCATCGACATAAGCCATTTTTTTGTTCATTTCTCTTGAGAGCCATAAGTGACCTCTCAACAATGTTATGTCAGATGTAGAACC